GTATTATTACTATTAGTTCTCGCAGTCGCTTCCTAAGTATTATTAGTATGATTGGTAAAATAACATAGTAGTGTTATTGTTGGTTTTCTCTTACTACGATTACTAGTACTCGTCGTAGTATGATTCGTCTTGTTGTTTGTGTTAGTATTATTGTTATTAAAAGTAATGCTTGTACTCGTAATAGTGCCACTATGCTTATCATGGTTCGTACTACGGGCACTGTTATTATAAGATTCGTCATACGAGTACGGTTACAATTAGCATTCTTCTTATACCCAAAGTATTGGTATCTCTTATATGATTAGAAATTATACTATTACTGTCGTTACTACAGGAATAGCATTATGGCTCGTATCTTTTTACTACTAGTATTACTTAGAAAACGAATATAACTTCTGTTTAAAATATTATTCCTCCGCCTCCTCCTCCTCCTCCTCCTCGTCCTCCTTCTCTTTTTGCTCTTGCCTCCCCTCCTGCACCCCTCCCTGCATCCCCCTCGTGGCCACTCGTTCTCCTCCTTCTCCTCCTCCTCCTCCTCCAAAGACGCACTGTAAGCCCCCTCTCATAGTACAAGTGCGTCCTGTTATCCTGCCAATGTCCTCCTGCTCGTGCTCTTCCTCTTTCTGTTGGTTCCTCCCTCCTTTGTGCCTTCCTCGTCCTCCTTTCCCGCCCTCTCCTTCCCTGTGAGGAGAAGGAGGGATCAGGCAGGCGACCAAGAGACGAAGAGACCGCCTACCCATGTTTACAAGAGGTGAGAGAGCGCGCAACATGCTCAATCTCACATCCTGGCGTCTCGAAAAAAATCGAGACGGAGGCTTTCCAGAGTCTTCGGCCTCCAGGGCCCTCGCTGGGCCCCGGGGCCGTGAAAAGACAGCTCAGGAGGAGAAACCTGCCCCAGAAAAGCGGTCAAGAAGAGGTCGGGGGGGCCCGCGCCTCGAAGAAAGCCGAAGCGCCAGAGGGCTGGGGAACTGCCCAGGGAGCTCTGGGAGAGGAGCGCGGCTCCTCCACCGCGCCCCCCGCGGGGTCCAGGCCCAGCTCCGAGCCCAGCCTCCGCTTGGGTCGGGCATGTCCTCCTACAGGCGGCTTCTGGAGGGAAAGAATAGCCAAAAAGTGCTCACCAGTGAGCAAACATGGTAGAAAAATCGTCCCCCCACGATGTTTTGTTTTAAACAATTGTTGAACATTCCTCCTTAGAACAAGCAAGACGCCATGAACATAAACTTTTGGCGCTCCGCGCGGATTTCTTGGATGTGCGCTGGACCCCCCTCGCTGGCGCGCAGAGCGCGCCAGGGGCGGCGCCGGAGGCGCCGCCGGGGGGGCGCGAGCTCGGATCTGCGCGGAGCGCCAAAGTTTATGTTTATGGTGTTTTTCCTACTTCGACTCCTGTAGAGAGACGTGCCCGACGCAAGCCCGGCCTTCGCCCCAGCTCCGAGCCCAGCCTCCGCTGAGGTCGGGCACGTCCTCCTACGGGCGGACTCTGGCGGAGAACTGCAAACTGGCCCCCAACAAAAAAGTCCTCGAGAAGAGGCAGAAAAAAACCGTAGCAAGAAATCGTCCCCGACTATTCATGGACTATCTCTGCATACTCCTCCGATGGACGGACATGCAGGCGGCGCGCCCGAGGGGGGGCAGTGGGAAGGGGCGGCCTCCTGAGGGTTCGGACGTCCCCCGGCCCTCGGAGGAGTCTTCCGAGCCTTCCCCGAAGGCGCGACAGAACACGTCTCACAGGACCAGCGAGCGTCCGAGAAGCCCTGCCGCCTGCTGGGCAGGCCTTCTCCTCCTCAGTTCCCCCCCTCGCTCGCCGCCAAGTGGAGGGACGTGGAGATGTATTTGGGGCGCGCAGCACTTTTCGGGGCGCAGATGTATTGCTCTATTTCCGCGTGCAACGCATCCCTTGCAACACGATGCAAGACCGCTCTCCGGCGCAGTACATTTGCAATACCGTTGCCCCAAACCTATTGCACCACCCCCCTTTCAGCTGGACCCCCTTGTGTCCGGAGCGGCCAAGAGGGGGGTGTCCAAGAGGGGCGGTGCAAATCATGACCGGCGGCATGTGCGCGGCCCAGCGGGGGGGGGCCGGGGACGTAATGAACCAAGAAGAGGCGCCATGAAATCTGGGAAACATCATGGCCCACGCCATGGATATCCAACCCCCGCCTGGTCACCGCCCCCCTCTTTTCCGCCCCCGAACTTGTGGGCCACCCCGAGATGGACGGACGTGCCCGACCCAAGCCCGGCCTCCGCCCCAGCTCCGACTCCGGCTCGGAGCCCGCCGCGCTCGCGGCCCGCGCGGCGGGGCGCCCGCCAGCCCCGCCGAGGCCCCCCAGGTACTGCGCCGCGCGGCCCAGCAGGTCGCCCGCCGCCGGGCCCGGCGGGGGCGCCGCGGGCGCGCCCCGGGAGAGGCCTTCGGAGGGCACCAGCTTTGCAGGTCGGGCAGGTCCTCCTGCAGGGGGGGTTGTTTGGGGGGGGGGGGGAAACAAATGGGCCCCAAGAAGGCTCGAAGATAGTCAAAAAGTAATCGACGGATCGTCCCCTATGCTGTGGTTTTTGACTGTTCTTGGATTCTCCCCCTGCAGAGGGACCCGACCGACCTAACACCAACTAGAAACCCAGACATCCTGGCGGTTCGAAGGAAGAAACATCGGGGCGGAGGCTCTGCACAGCTTGCTCGGCCTCCGGGGGCCCTTCGCGACGGGCCTCGGCGCCGTCCGAGAAGCGGCTCGGGAGGAGAAGCTGGTCAGGGGAGAGTGGTCGAGATATCGGGGGGCCCGTGCCCCGAAGAAGTCGAGACGCCCGAGGTCTGGGCACAGCTGCACCCGTCCTGGCCCAGCTCACGCTGGGCCCAGGATCGGTGTGCACGCCCTCCCCGCGATCAAGTCGGGAATGCCCTTCCACAGGTGGATTTTGGGCGAAAAACCAAAAATAGCCAAAAAATACCCCCAAATGGGCAAAAAGTACTCAAGAAAGAGAGTCCCCCGACTATTTCTTTTGACTGTTTTCGAGAATCCCTCCTGCAGAGGGACAGGCCCGACTTCACCCCACGAGGCCCCGGCGGCTCGATCCTCTCTCGGGCCGGGCGTCCTCGCTCCTCGGATCGGGCCGCAGGGCCCTCGCAGAGCGAGCTGGTCCGACAGGGAGCACGGCGAAGCAAAGGGGTGCAGGGCTCCGGGCGTGACTTCGAGCGACGTCGCCCCGTGTCCGCCACGCCGAGTCGCCGGGCCCTGGCTCGGGCAGGAGGGCCCGGATGGTCCAGGGTCTGGGCCCCCCGCGCCCCCCCTCCTGCTCATGCCGTCGGCCCCCCGCCCCCCTCCCCCCCCGCGAGATGGCCCCCTCCCCCCCCCCGTGGGCGTGGCGTGACGCGTGGGTGTGGCGTGGGGTCCCCCTTGTGGGCGTGCGGTGGTGAGGAGGCTGGCCTCAGCAGCCAAGCGTCGCCGCCGCCGCCGCCGCCGTCGTCGTCGTCGTCGTCGTCGTTGCAACATGCAGGGCAAGAGCTGTACAGGGCGCCCTTCGCGCGCGACAGGGCGAAATGCAGAGGCCGCCCCAGCGCCGCGCACCCCCGTGCTGGGGAGACCATCGACGACACCCTTCGTCGTCGTCGTCGTCGTCGTCCTCTGAGAGAGGGAAGCAAAGAGGAGAAGAGAGGGCCAAGGAACGAGGAGAGAGAGATGAGGAGGGGGACGGAGGGAGGAGGAGCAACATCGTCGTCGACGGTGTCTTCTCCATCGTCGCCTCCCTGTGGGTATGGCGTGCTGTTGCGGTGCTTCAGGGAGCCAGGGCGGTCGACCTCTGGCAGAGATCTGAGGTCGTCGTCGTCGTCGTCGTCGTCGTCGTCGTCGTCGTCGTCGTCGTCGTCGTCGTCGTCGTCGTCGTCCCCCCTCCCATCGGGGGAGCGCCCGAGGGACCCGGACACCCATCCCCCATCCCATCTGGGGGGGGGGGACCGGAGCCAAAGATCATATATGATCCAGGGTCGAGGGCCCACGGCCCCCCCCCCCTAGATGGTATGGTCCCAGGATTCCTCGGCCCCCCCCCCCCAGATGGTATGGTCCCAGAGAGACGACGACGACGACGACGACGACGACGACGACGACGGCGACGACTACGACGACGGCGACGACGACGACGACGACGACCACGACGACGACAACGACGGCTGCGGCGGCGACGACGCCGACGCGACGCGACGGCGACGACGACGATGACGACGATGACGACGGCGACGACGACGATGACGACGACGACGACGATGACGACGACGACGACGAGGACGACGACGACGAGGACGACGAGGACGACGACGACGACGACGACGACGACGACGACGACGACGACGACCTCTGAACCACCACAGCACCACACCACATCCACAGGGGGGGGGAGGGGGGCACCGCAGCGCAGCACCACGCCACGCCCACCTCTGAACCACCACAGCACCACACCACATCCACAGGGGGGGGGGGGAACCGCAGCGCAGCACCACGCCACGCCCACAGGGGGGGGCGGGGGGGACCATCGCGCGGGGGGGGGGGGCCCAATGGCATCAGCATTGGGGGGGGGGGGCCCAAGCCCTGGACCACATATGCACCGATCCTGGGCCCAGGATCGGCCAGGACAGGATCGGTGCAGGTATGCACCCAGACCTCCAGCGTCACACGGGCCTCCGACCTCTCGACCACTTTCCCGGGACCGGCTTCCCATGGGGAGGGCGTGCACACCGATCCTGGGCCAGGCGTGAGCCTGGCCAGGATCGGTGCAGGTACACCCAGACATCCGGCGTCTCGATTTGTTCGGGGCACGGGCCCCCAACGTCTTCACCACTCTCCCCAGACCGACTTCTCCTCCTGAACCGTTTTCTGACAGCCCCGAAGCCCGCCAAGGGCCCCCAGAGGCAGGAACCTATGCAAAACCTCCGCCCCGATTTGTTTTTCTTCGAACCGCCAGGATGTCTGGGCAATTAGAGTTGGTGCCCTCCGAAGGCCGCCGCCGCCGCCGCTGGAGAAGCCCGCGGAGCTGCCCCGGCTGTCGCCGAGCCCGGGCTGGCCGCCGAATTGCTCGGCGCCGCCCCAGGAACGGCCCGCCGAGCTGCCCCGGCTGCCGCCAAGCCCTGGCCGTCCGGCAAGCGGGCGTTCGCCGCCCGCCTCAGAGCCCGCGGAGCTGCGCTGGCTGCTGCCCGTTGCCGCAAGGGCCTTTTCAGGGGCACCGACGGGGGCGATGCGGAGGAGGAAGAGGGGGAGGGGGAGGGGGAGGGGGAGGGGGAGGAGGAGGAGGAGGAGGAGGAGGAGGAGGAGGAGGAGGAGGAGGAGGAGGAGGAGGAGGGGGATGAGGAGGAGGAGGAGGAGGAGGAGGAGGAGGAGGAGGAGGAGGAAGAAGAAAGCGACGAGTTGGCAGGTGTCCTGCAGGCTGGGCCCCACGCAAGGGCCCTTTGTCCCGACACCCACGCTATGCATCTGCAACCTCAGGTGCCAATCAAAGTGCCGTGAAGCTTCACGGCTCAGTCCAAGCAATATGGAAACATTTCGGCGAATTTCTATCCTCAGCCAATCGGCACCTTTCCCATCGGAACGGGGAAAAGCAAAACTGATATGGAGGATGGGGCTGGAAGCTCGGCCAACGGGGGTCAGCTAAGTTCAAAACCTAGCCCCAAAGGGCCGTCCCCCCTCGTCCAAGTCACGAAGGGCCTCAAAGGCACCTTCCAACTTATCGGTCGCAGGGTCCTCGACGTCACCAGGGACCGTCGGGGGGGCGACAGCTGCTCGGGCGGCAACTGCGTCAGCAGCTCCATACAAATTATCCAACGCGTTCAAGTGTGCATCTGCACAGCCCGCCGAGCGGTCAGGCAAGAGGCGTGCCTCCTCACGGGCCAGCGCAACGGCAACGATGGTCGAGTGCAGGATGAGTGTCTGTCTCGAGCGTGGCTTAACCTTGAGGCGAGTCTGGCAGCTTAAGTCGTTTTTTTTTCTACGGGTTTCAGTGGCTGATACGTCGGCAGTTTTGTTCCTAGTTTCCCAAAAATACAATGATCCGATCATCATCCACACCACGGGAGCTTAAATGGGAATTAACATTCGCAACACGGATGCTCTTATCTTGAATCGCCGTTCGTACATGGACGCCGAGGGCTACGCGCTGCCAAACATGAGGATGCTCTCGGGCCTGGAGGTGGCCCCCGCACAAAAGGTGTCCGAGTTTCGCGACAAACTCCTCATTGTCAACAAACTGGTGTATAGAAACTTCACATGCGGGAATAGCGGGCGCAACAGCTAGCGCAGCGGCCCTTTGGGCCGATTGGCGCGGCCCGAAAACTCTCTCATGATAATGCATCACACGGCCATCACCATACTGAACAGCAAAACCAGCTCTGGGAAGGAGGGGGGCGGCACGCGTCAGAGGACGCTCCATGCGTCGCCACCAGGATCCACTGGCCGCTCGACTCTCCATCCCAAGGGAGGGTCCCCTTCCCAAGCTAGATGCACAGCTTCTCGATCGTGCTCGCCCCTGGCCGCAGATGCTTGAGGCGGGCGGAAACGTCGATACTCAACCAGTTCAGGATGCAACAAAAAATGCCACAGGCACGCGCACGAGGGGCGCAGGACTCCCATTCCTGATCTGAAACAGCCTCAAGGAATCGTTCACGACGTCTACTCCAGACTGGGCACTTTCTGATGACGTGCTTATGTGCGTTCCTCAGCAGCGTTGCAAAATCTACCAACTGGGCTCGCGTCCTCGCTCAGGTTCGCTCTGGATAATCTCTGCTGGGCATGGCCCCCCCCGCAAAGGAACTTGCACAGACGCGACAAATTCTTTTCATCCAACCTAGACCGCTGCCGCTTGGTGCGCAGCAACCACCGGACCCGTGGCCGGCATGCCCAGGACGCCCCCAGCGGTCGGGATCTGCTTCTGGAACCACCTCCTCTGCGAGATCCTCAGCTCGTGGTAGAGGTAGTCCGACGTGATCCAGTTTAGCTTCGTGCCTTTCTCGGTGCGCATGATAGTCGGCTCTGGTCATGTCCAATCCAGGTCCGCCAACACTTCCGTCAACCCCGCGACGGGCCCTGGTGGCTCACGAGGGCCTTGGACCGCCGCGCGCAGGAAAGCCAGCACTTGGCGTCGCAGCCAAGGCTTCTCCAACAGACGGCGTAGTGCTCGAAATACTTCTGCATTGCCAACTGCACGAGGCTCGGTCCCGTGTTCTCAAATATCGTGTAGAACAAAATCCGACAACACAGCCAGTTGCCTCCTGTGGGATAGACAGCACGAAATGCAGCTTGGCTGAAGGTGCCCATTGTCTTCTCGGGAGGTGTCGCCAGGTCCATTCCACTAGCAATCATGCATGCAGTGAGAGATCGAACCTGTTCTCCGTTTCGTACTGATGCTGAGTGGCAGCCTCTGGATCCTCGCAAGTCGTGGTTTGGCGCCCTCAAATCACTATAGAAGCAAAGTATAATTCTGTCCACCGGTCGCCACAACCTCACCCCCCACCAACTTGACACTGTCTGTGACAGTGAGTTCCTGCCCAGCGATCCTGATATCCTGGATTGCTGGCACGTCCTTTCCATGCACCGTCCACGCCTGGATCTTTCCTGGAGGCACCTGCTGGCCTAAGTACTCGTCAAACTTGAAGGTCTCCACGACCGAAGCCGTCAACTCTCTGATAGCGCGGACCATGCTGTTCGGGTCGTCGACGAAGTAACCGGGAGACTTCGAGGCTTGCATCCGCGCTGCCTAGCCGCCCGCGCGCGCATCAGAAGTTTCACATCAACCAGACTGGAGCCGCTGCCTCGCAAATGCCCGTTCGTAATTTAGAAGAAAAGAGCCCGTGGATTCCGCCATCTACATGGCTCGTTGGTGCCTCTCGTAAAACTGAGTACTGACGTCCGCTATCGGTTTGGGGCGTCCAGCACGCGTTTAGAGACCCACAGCCACTTCCGCAACAATTAGCCCGGCGAAGGACCCAACAATATGCAGCTGTGCCATTGTCCATATAATCTTCGCCCGCGCTCCCTATGCGGCCACGAACCGCGCGAGGGGCGCGCCGAAATGCGTGGCGGGGTACACCACGGGAGGCGAAAGTCTCCGCTGCTGCCTTCGGCAGAGCTCGATGCGGGGCCAGGGGCCACGAAACGCGCGAGGAATAAGGGGTGCGCCGAAATGGATGGCGGGGAGGCATGCGGACGCAGCCACGGGCGCCTTCGGCGGTGCTCCCTATGGGGCCACGAAACGTGTGAAGGGTGTGCCGAAATGGGCGCGGGGGCGGCATGCGGACCCTGCCACTGGGGCCTTCGGTGGAGCTCCCTATGGGGCCGCGAAACGTGTGAGGGGTACGCCGAAATGAGCGCGGGGGCGGCATGCTGGCGCAGCCACTGGGGCATTCGGTGGAGCTCGCTATGGGGCCGCGAATGCGGCGGGCGGGGAAGACGCATGCGCACTGCGCCACTGGGGCCTTCGGTGGAGCTCCCTATGGGGCCACGAACCGCGCGAGGGGCACGCCGAAATGGGCCTGCGGTGGACGGGGGGGACGCATGCGGACACCCCCACTGGGGCCTTCGGTCGAGCTCCCTACGGGGCCACGAACCGCGCGAGGGGCGCGCCAACATGGGCCTGTGGCGGGCGGGGAGGACGCATGCGAACTGTGCCACTGGGGCCTTCGGTGGAGCTCCCTATGGGGTCACGAACCGCGCGAGGGGCGCGCCGAAATGGGCCTGCGGTGGACGGGGGGGGCGCATGCGGACACCCCCACTGGGGCCTTCGGCGGAGCTCCCTATGGGGCCACGAACCGCGTGAGGGGTGTGACAACATGGGCGGTGGGGACGATGGCGGGGACGATGATGATAAGGACGTGGATGAGGATGGCGCTGCAGATGACGATGCTGATGGATGATAGGCGATGGTGATGATGGTGACTATGGCGTGGGGAGGGGGAGGAGATGATGATGATGATGATGATGATGATGATGATGGTGATGGGAGGGGGGGGGCGAGGAGGTGGGACGCGGGGCGCTGCCTCTTCAAAAAGAGGACCCCACACCACAGGATGGTTGGGAATCAAATCAAAATGATACTTCTTGTCCAAAGCCAAGCCATGCTTATATTCGCCTCGACGCTGGTTTGCCCTCAAGTGCAGGGCGAGGTTTGTTGGTGCATTATGGGGGTCAGCACCAGCAGTAGCTCGGCACGTCGTCGCGCGCGTCCACTTGGCCCTCAATGCAGATAACTCGTCGTACACTGGCGCCGCCCAAGCATACCATCATATACTGAGTGCTGATAAGAATCTCTATTCAACTGGATATTCGCAAGGGCCTCTCTAGGCACGGGCCGACCACTGTTGGGAAAGCTTCAGGCATCGGATTCGCGATCAGCATCCACTTTAGACCTTCGGCAAAGATGGCCGCGATAGACCTGGCGAGAGCACGCGCATCTTTTGTTGTCCAACCATCCAACCCTCCTGCTGCGCGCAAACTCACTCTGGCTTGACAACGCTGCAGCATCAAGACACCCTGTCTTTCGACTGCATTTTCCAACAGACGGTAGGACATTCCTTCCAAGGGCACCCCAAGCGCGGGGTGTGGTCTCCCGTCCTGGGCGTCTTCGGCGCCGGCGCTTCCCCTGGCGCGCCTTCTCCAGAGCGAACCCCGAGCTTCTTCACGACGGCGTCGATGCCAAGCTGGAGGCCCTCGAGTGCATCAAGCCTGTTCACTGCGTTGGCGATCGCAGAGCCCTGTCGCGACCGCCGTGCTCAGGGCCTCCATCTTGGCGTTGGTCTCCGCCCGGTTCGCCGCGATGGTCGCGTTCTGGGACTGGATCTGTCGGCGCAACGCAGCGAGGTCGCGCTCGAGGATGTCAGTCCTCTGGCTGGCAGCCGCTGGCAATGCCGCGGTGGCGGGGGTGGCTGGCTGGGTTGACGGCGCCTCCGAATCGCCGCCTATCTGCACGCCGTCCTCCGCACCAGCTGGCACGGCCCCCGCCATTGGCGGCGTGCTCACGGCCCTCAGGTGGGCGAGCCATGCTGCCCCTCCCGCGGCGGCGGCCTGGGCGATCGTCACCGCTGCCGCCATGGGGCCACCTGCTGGGGGCTGCTGTGCTGGCTGTAGCTTCTTTGTTTTGGCCTCCACGAGCTCGTCTGAGAGCACGACGGCGGGGGCTGCGCCGGTCTGCATTAGCTCGGGCTTGTCCGCGATAGCAACGACGACCCACGGCCGCCGTCCATCGCACACCCTCCAGCAAGTGCTATCGGGGACACGTCTGCCTCGACGCTGGCGCAATAGCTCAGCTCCCTGCAGTCGCACCCGACGTCGGCTGCCTCGCACTGCCAGTGGGGCCCCCCCGGCCACCGTCTGGATCTGGCGCTTGGATGCCACGCTCGGCGGTAGATGGTCGACGCGGAACTTTTGGCGCGCGAGGCTGGCTGCATGACCCCTGACCTCGATGGCCAAGTCCCTTGCCTGGGAGAACATTCTGGCCATGCGTATACCCGACGCCCGCACGTCGCTACGCATGACGCCCTGGCGGCCGCGTCGTAGATGGTTCACATGCACCGCGCCCTTCTCGTAGATGGCGATGCGCAGCGTTGCGGCCAGCTGGTCGTCCGCGAGGGGCTGGACCGTGGCAGTGTTGGTCTGGTACACCAGTTCCCCCTGCCCGAACTGGTAGGTAACGCCCTTAGGGAAGGCTTTTGCCGCCCCCCCCCCCCGCACGACAGGCACCTAGAGGACGGTGCGCGGGTACGTCTGGTCGGGCCCGCCGAGGCCAACGATCGCGATGGGGACCGTCTGCCTCTTCTGCGACAGCGCAGAGCAAGCGCCATTTGCTGGCCATGCACGGGTCATGCAAACTCACCGTGCGTTCGTAGGTATCGTCGTTATTATTATGAAGAGTACTCGTATTCCTCTTATGATTAGTAGTACTATTCTTAGTAGTAGTAGTAGTAGTAGTAGTAGTAGTAGTAGTAGTAGTAGTAGTAGTAGTAGTAGTAGTAGTAGTAGTAGTAGTAGTAGTAGTAGTAGTAGTAGTAGTAGTAGTAGTAGTAGTAGTAGTAGTAGTAGTAGTAGTAGTAGTAGTAGTAGTAGTAGTAGTAGTAGTAGTAGTAGTAGTAGTAGTAGTAGTAGTAGTAGTGTGGTGGTGGTGGTGGTGGTGGTGGTGGTGGTGGTGGTGGTGGTAGTAGTAGTAGTAGTAGTAGTAGTAGTAGTATAGTAGTAGTAGTAGTAGTAGTAGTAGTAGTAGTAGTAGTAGTAGTAGTAGTAGTAGTAGTAGTAGTAGTAGTAGTAGTAGTAGTAGTAGTAGTAGTAGTAGTAGTAGTAGTAGTAGTAGTAGTAGTAGTAGTAGTAGTAGTAGTAGTAGTAGTAGTAGTAGTAGTAGTAGTAGTAGTAGTAGTAGTAGTAGTATCAGTCGTAATACTATGAGTATTCGTATTATTATTATTACTATTAATACTACTATGTGTTACTATTATTCTTATTATTCTTCTGGTTCTTATTATTATTGGTATTAATATTATTGGGTTCAGTGCTGACCTGGGTCGGCCAGTCGCCACTTGCCAACGTAACGGCCGGGGTGAACACCGCGGCGGTATCCTTTCATGCCCTAGCGGCCGCAATACCTTTCGCCACGAAGTACGGGCATGATGCTCCTTCGTCCAGCTGATCTTGTGCTTGGCGACGAGCTTACGTAATTCGCGTCCGAACATCGTGTCGGACGTGGAGAAGACCAAGCTCTGCAGTTCCGACCCGCGCTTGGAGGCCATCTCGTCATAATTATGCTGCCGACGCACGATGAGCGCCGATGCCACTCAGAGCTTCAACCACGAGGTGCTTGCGAGCCAGAGGTGCTCCAACCTTCGCGGCTGGCTGGCGCTGGGCCATGCCGACCAGCCATAACTGGGGGAGCTGTGGTCCTTACCCCCGTGGGGGAACCCATCGCGTCGACGATCTCTCTCGAGGGGTGTCGAAATCGATGGGTCCCCCAGGGGGGTAAGGACCACAGCTCCCCCAGTTGTGGCTGGCCTGCCATGGCTGGTCCCGAGGAGCGAGGAGACGAAGTGCGGATCTCCGCAGCCCTCTGGGGAGGGGGGGCTGTCGGCGCGGCCAAGAGAGGCTGCTCTCGGAGGGCGGTCCGCGGGTGGCCCGCTCGTGCTTCCTGGAAACACTCGGGCCCGCGCTAGAGGAGGAGGAGGAGGAAGAGGAGGGGGAAAGGAGGAGGAGGAGGAAAGGAGGAGGAGGAGGAAAGGAGGAGGAGGAGGAAAGGAGGAGAAGGATGCGGTTCCTGGAGGTTCGAGGGTTGCGGCCGCTTCCGGGGGCCCTCGTCGAGCTCCTGGCCTCGGGATGCCTTCCAGCGGCTTCGCCTCGCCGAAAGCGCGCTGGAGGTGCCCGCATCGCCCCGAGCGGCCGCCGGGAGGCCGGAGCTGTGACCCGAAAGCCACCCGGGGGGATGGCGCAGGGGGGGGGGGGAAGAGCATCGACCCCGAATGCCGGGGAGACACATCGCCGACGAATCGGCGACAGGCCCCCGATAGCGAAGCCGCACGTTCCTGGACGGGGGGGACAGTCGGCCGCCCAGCGGCGCCCCATGGGCGAGCGGGCGTCGGTGCGTCCCCCCGTGATCGGCGGCGCACACGACGGGGGCAGGGGGGAGGGGGAAGTTCGATGGCAACTCATGGGAGCCTCCCATGCCATCTTGTCGGCTCTTGCGAATCGACGCCAGCCGACGCTAAATCGACGCTAATCGACACTAAGCCAACGCCAATCGACGCTAAGCGACGCTAAAGCGGCGTTATCTCATCCACTCCCAAACGCAAATCGACGCTCATCGACGGTAAAGACAAAATTCAGAGGGTACACCCGGCTCCCATAAATTGCTACCGAGGGAAAGGCTTCTTAGAAGGAGGCTGCTTCTTAGCAGGCGACGGCCCTACATCTGCAGACGAGAAGCAGCTTCCTTCTGAGAAGCCTTCCCCCCTCCACCCTGCCCCCCCCCCCTGCGCGTGGCCGATCTCAGCCTGCAACACCCCTCAAAATCACGCCCAGAGCCCCAGATGGACCCCATCTTGGTGCGTCACTTTCGAGACCGATCGATCTGTGAGGGCCCAGGGGCCCGAAGAGAAGGCTGAAAACGCCCGGCCCGAGGAAAGACTGAGGCGCCGGGACCTCAGGGCCTCACTTGGAGGCCTGGAAATGGGCACCAACGCCAACACAGGGGGGGGGCCTCCACGGGGGGAAGATTATCCTAGACTTCGGTGTTGGTGGTAATGATTCGGTCACCTTGGAAGCTAGAATCTTACCACCATCACCGAGATCGAAATCTTGTTCCCCCGGTGGAGGCACACCGCCGATATTGATGTTGGTGTCAACCTGTAGGCCGGCGACTCGCGCTGCCCCCCGAGGCCTCCGCCGCCGCGCGGCCGGCGCCAGAGGCCCCCGCGCCGCCGCCGAACTGCCTGGGGGACGCGCTGGGCCGGGCCAGTGCAGACCCGGGGTCAGTTGGGCCTTGCCTCGGGTCGGGCATGTCCTCCTGCAGGCGGCTTCTGGGCGAACTTAAAAACAGCCCCCCCAAAAAAACTCAAAAGTAGTCCATGGTGCTGAAAAAAATCGTCCCCATGCGATGTGTGCACCAACTCTGAGTACGACTCCTGGAGAAGGACACGCCCGACTTAGCTCAAGATCCCGCAGCAGCCTGCCAGATCCTGCACCCGAACACGGGTCAGCGCACCCCTGGCCCTGCAGGATCCTGCAAAGTCTGGCGCTCCAGCTGGCCCCCGTTTGCAGTAGTTCGGCCATGTCCTCCTACAAGCGGGTTCTGGACGAAAAATTAAAAATAGCTTCAAATACGGAAACATAGTCACAACAAAAACAATTTAGACGATTTCTCGATCTTCCTCCTGTGCAGGGACACGCCCGACTGAACGCAAGATCCCGCAGCAGCCTGCCAAACCCTGCACCCGAACCTGGGTCAGCGCACCCGTGACCCTGCAGGATCCTGCAAGATCTGGCGCTTTGGCTGACCCCCGTTTGCATCGCCCCCCGTACCCAGACATCCCCAGCGCCTCGACTTTTGTCGAGGCCCGGGCTCCCGACCTCTCGACCACTCTCCCGGGACAAGCTTCTCCTCCCGAGCCGTTTCTTGACAGCCCCGAGGCCCGTGCAGGGCCCCCAGAGGCCGAAGACTGTGAAACAAACATCCGTCCCGATTTTTTTGTTCGAGGCGCCAGGGTGTCTTGGGCCTCTTGACCCCCGGCTTCCGCAGCACGTTGCCCCACGACGCCGGCGACTCCGCGGGCGGCGGGCCACCGCCCTCCTCGGAGGGCCCCAGGCTCGCCGCGGAGGACGGGCGCGCCGTGCGGCTCTGGTTCAGCGGCGCCTCCAGGGAGCGCGCGCTGGGGCATTTCTGGGGCCCCACACAGTCTGGCGCGCGCTGGGGGATTTCTTCTGCTGGAACACATGGGTGGCTGCCAGCAAGACAGATACCAAAAATACGTTAAATAATCAAGCTAAGAATAATGCTAATACTAAACACTCCTATATCTATATATACATACATACATACATACATGCATACATACATACATGCATGCATGCATGCATGCATGCATGCATATACATACATATATACATACATACATACATACATACATACATACATACATACATGCATGTATGCATACATACATACATGCATACATATTTACAGACAGTCCTATATACATACATACATGCATGCATGCATACATACATACTACAAACACCCATACACACACATACAAACATGCATACATACATACATACATGCATGCAAACATACATTACATTACATTACATTACATTACATTACATTACATTACATTACATTACATTACATTACAGTACATTACATTCCACTACACTAGACTACACTACACTACACTACACTACACTACACTACATTACATTACATTACATTACATACATACATACATACATCTATACATACATATATGCATATGTGAAAATAAACGTATGTATACAAATGTACGTGTGTGTGTGCGTGTTGTTCTACATGCTCTCATCTGTTATCATGAATTTGGATAATGTTTAATGCTGGCTGGGAAACGAGAGAACGATCAACAGACACAATACAAAAAAACAAGAAAAGCAAAAACAAATGTGCTCATTTATTTTCTCGTATATCTATACTTTCTATGAAACTGAACTGCCGGCTCGGAGACGGAAAAACATGTTATTGAAATTCATCATATGTTGAATGAATTGAAATGCCCGTGCGGAAACGGAACACTATAAAACACATCAAGAATAATGAACACCCTTTCTTACAAAAATGATAAAAGAAAAACAACAACAACAACAACAACAACAACAACAACAACAACAACAACAGCAGCAGCGGCAACAACAACAACAACAACAACAACAACTATTACAACAACAACAAAACGATTCAAAGCAATTCCCATATGTCCATGAATGTTCATGGTTTGAACCGCATACTCGGAAACGTAAGAATATCGGCATGGATATATATACACACATATATATGTGTGTGTGCTCATACACTTTCGATTCCAAACATGTTCGTAGGTCACAGCAGTTTGAAATGACACAAGCATCCTTCAGAGTCCTCGGGAAATCTTTCGCGGCTTACGCTCCGGGGCCTCGGGCGCTTTGGCTTGGGGGAATCCAAGGCCTGAGAATCTTTGGCCCGGGACACTCCAGCCGCAGAGCCTCGGGCGTTCGACCTAGGAGTCATGGGCCCTGGACTTTGTTGGCCCGGCATTGATAGCACGCAAAGATCTGCCCTGGTTTCGGGGGGGATGTCCCTGGAACCAGCCCTGGAGCCAAGAGCGCATGGCACCGGGAATTCCGAGCCTTCGGATTCCTCGACCCACGAGCCCCAGGACCCAGGGGCGGAAGCTTAGGAATCTTGAGACATGAAACCCGAGAACCCAAGCGCCGCCGGCACTGGAATCTTGGCGGAATCTCGGGCACACTAGCCCTTGGTTCTGGAGTCAAAGGCCCATTTGACTGGGGCGCTGGAGGCGAAGGCCGCGAGGGCGCCTGGACCTTGGAACCCTGGGCCCGGGCATGCGCGAAGGGGCCCGCGGCTGTGGAATCCGAAGCGCAATCGATCTTAGGCCCTGGTATTTTCGTGGTTCATGATTCGGCCGCGACCGTTCGCGGCGTCGGCGCGGAGGAATTGTCGGGAATTCAGTGAGGTCCTCGGAAGCCGTGAATTCGCGAAGTTCCTCCAGGACCTTCAAGGCCTCGCGAAACCAGGGGAAACCCAGAGTTCCTGTTTGCGGGGACTTTGAGATTTTCTAATTTCGCAGAAATCTTCAGGGGGCTGCAGACATTTTGAGGGGTCCTTAGGATGTAGTTGGAATTCTAGAGAAATCGAAAGGTTTGGGAGGTTTCCTTTGGGATCTGTGGTCTACAGGAATGATCGAGATCCCGCCAGAACCTTCAGGGGCTTTCACGGGTCCCAAGGAATTCCGTGGAACCCCCGAGATTTTCTGAAACCTGAGAGCTCCCAATAATCTTGAGGAGTCTTTCAGAATCCCGAGGAAGCCGCAGGAACTTCCGGGAATGCTTCGGGGCCCGCCAAAACCTTTAGGGAATCATGGGAACGCGGAGGGATCTTCGGGGATGCCGGGGAGACCTTGCGCATCCATAGGAATGCAGAGGATGCCGAGGGGGGCCCGGAGGAATCCCCCGCCGCGCGCGGTTTTTGTTTGCATTGGCCACAGTCGAAAAGTCGCAATGTCGACATGGAAACTAGATAGAATTTTTAGCGGTAGCCGATCGGAGCAAGCGTGGGCCCCGTTGAATAGTTTCCCGCGGCGTGCCTTTTCACATTTTGTGAGTTGCGCCGCTAGGCGAAAAGGTTAGTTTTGGATACTTCACAGGCGACCGATCGCCCTGAAGGGATGGGACATAAAACGAAACACTCTGCGTTGATTGATTGGGTTTCCAATGTGGCGTGGGTTCTGGCAAATTCCCCTGTCGCGGGCAGCGCAGCATCCCCCGCGCGCGGCGCCGCGCCCCGCATTCCACGGCCAAGGCTTCCTGGGCCCCGTTCGCCGCCCGGGTTTCTTGGGGCCCCGGGGCCAAGGGTCCAAGACTTTGGGCCCCTGGGCCCCAATGCCCAGGGCGCCTTGGCCTGAAGAGCACTCGAAAGCACCTCTCCCCTGGACGCGGAAGACCGCACAACAAACCAATCACCCAAGCGCCCCCCCCCCCAACAAAAAAAAAACGAACGAGATCTAATACCAGGCGCTATCTCTGGCGCGACGTTCGCCTGCGGCGACGATTTTCCACCCGCGCGCTAATCAAGGGGGCGACAAGATGGCCCCGCCCATTGAACGCGACCGCGGCCCGCGCAGAGCTAATCCCTCCCTGGCGCGCCTGCGCCTCGGCGCCACGCGCGCCGGCCGCGCGGCGGCGTCTCGCCCGCCGCGCCCCCCCGGGCGCGCCCGCCAAGATATCCCCCCTGATATTCCGCGCCAGACATCGGGCCGCGCCGCGCCTGTCGACTGGCGCGGGCGAGCGCGGGCCCCGAGATCAACGCCATCAAATAACAAAATACTCGTCGTTCATCGCGCGAGCCACCTCCCCAGCTGCCGGCGACGCGCACGCCGCGCGCCCCCCCGCGACAGACGACGGCGCCGCCCGCGCGGCCGTCCCGCGCGGCCTTGCCCCGAACTCCCCGCGGCCGCGCGGCCGCGCCCAGCACTGGCGGGCCGGCCGCGCCCCCGCGGCGCGCGCGTCTCCGCGCGGCCGCGCGGCCGCGCCCGAAGAAGCTGGGCGGCCCGCGCGCGCGCTTGAGAACGCCGACCCGGCCGCGCCGCCGCGCCCGAGAACGCCGGCCCGGCCGCCTGCCCGCTCGACAACTCCCTCCGCGGCCGCGCTGCGGAGCCCGAGGACGGCGGCCCGCGCGCGCCCTCGCACGCGAGGGCGATCGGCGCGGCCGCGCCACGCGCCGACAGACCCGTCGGCCGGACGCATCGACGGAACTCCGGGGGCGGGCGCCCCCGGGGCGCCGGCGAGATGGCCGCCCGCACCGCCGGGCGCGCCCGCGGGCGGGCCCGAAGACGATTTGACATACAAGCTGCATACTGTTGTCGGAGCACTTGCACGCGCCATCTTATACTTTTTCAAAACTTTCACCGGGCAGGGCAAGATGCAAGAACAACCAAACAAAAAAATGGCACGGCCCTCGCCGGGCCCCCGGGGGCCGCCGCCGGCCGGCGCTCGCCCCCAAGGGCGCGCGCCCCGGGCAGCGAGGCGGCGCCGCGCCCGGCGGCGCGCGGCGCGCCGCGCCGGCGCGTCGGACGGCGCCGCCCCCCCTCGCTCGCCCGCGCGCGTCACGAGACACTGCGCGGCCGCGCCTGCGCGTCGGACAACGCTGGCGAGGCCGCGCCCGCGCGCCTTGCCGGGCCGCTGACGGCCGCGCCCGCGCGCTTGACAACGCCAGCCCGGCCGCGCCAAGCCCGCGGGCGGCGGCCCGCGGGCGCCCGCGCATTTGAAAGCGCCCAGCCAGGCCGCGCCCGCGCGTTTCACGGACCCCCCGCGGCCGCGCCGGAGAGCCCGAGGACGGCTGCCCGCGCGCGCCCGCGCGTTTGATGTCGCTCGGCCAGGCCGCGCCCGCGCGCCTTACAGATCGCCCCGCGGCCGCGCCGGGGGGCCCGAGGAGAGGGGGGGCCCGCGCGCGCCCGCGCATTTCAGAGCGCTCGGCCAGGCCGCGCCAGGCGCCCCTGGCACCTTAGCCGCCGACGCGCCCGCGCGTCTCGCAGAACGACGCCCTCTGCGCGGGCGCGTCTGAGAACGCGGGCGCGGCCGCGCCCGCGCGCCAGTCAGGGTGGGGCGCGGCCGCGCTGGCGCGACGGAGACCGCGGACGCGGCCGCGCCCGCGCGGTCTGCGTCGCGGGATCGGCCGCTCCAGCGCGCGCCACGGCGGGGGGGGCGCGCCAAAGAATCCGCTAAGCCCGAAGAATCCTTAGGAATCTTGCTTGATTCCTGAAGAAACAATCCCAAGCTCGCGGAATCTGGGGGACCCCTGCAGAATCTCGCATGCCAGGAAAATCCCAACTCTCCCTCCGAAGCTGGAGGAATCCTCCGGAATCCTGAAAAACCTTTAGGCGTCACAGATCGCAGCCCCCCAGGGATGGCAAGGTCTTATCTGAATCTGCATAGGACGTCACTATGCCGATCCCCCCAGCAGCCCTCCAAAGTGGCGACAGTTTCGCAGATCGCAGCCCCCCAGCCAGGGATGGCGAGCTCGAATCTGACTTCACGTAAGACGCCCCTCCGCTGGGCCCTGCAGCAGCCCTCGAAAGTGGCGACAGTTTCACAGATCGCATCCCCCCG